GTCCTCTCTGATCACGTAACACGACAAATGCGTCCGCTTGTTGAGCCACTCTCGAGCCCCGCCAGAAACTACATAGTTTCTAGTATATTAAAGGTCGAGTCGCAATGCTGCCAGAGACAAGAAAGACTGGAATGGTTATTTCTGACTTACTAGTAGTCATCACCCGGCCACACCAAACCTCAGTTGTCGCAACACGCGGCGACTGCACACGTGACCTTTTGTTTAGAAGTCCAATGCCTTAATTATTAGGCTAAGGGCTCGTTGTCCCCTAGGCTGAATTAGGGTGTATTAATTGGTGGTAGAGAGCTTATTGCAGTGGGTTAAGTAAGTTAAACCCTAGCAACTGCGATCTTCAAAACAAGGGTTCTTAGTGGAGACGAAGTCTTGGGAAGGCCAGAATAGAAGGAATAGTTTATTGTTTACACAATGGAACGAAGAATAGAGGGAAAGAGTTTGACTACGGAGAGCACGACCTCCCGATAGAGCGGCGTGATCAGAAGTGACGTCTGGTGGCCGAGGGTAGCCGAGGGTGGGGAAAAAGGTACATGTTCGAATGGTGCTTCGGCAACCGCGAGAATCTAGACGCATGTGTGTGTGTGTGTGTCCGAGTGGAACTTGGTCAAGTCTTTGCAGGTCAGCGCGTCTGTAAACGCTGAATGAGGTATTGGATGACCTTGAGGCAGCTGGCCTTGAACAATAACGCCGGATAAAGCAATGAAGGGCGTCGGCCGGCAGCGACCGCTACAAGCTAACTGATCACGCTACAGCTGACTGAGTATTGTTTATAAGCCAGAAATGGTCATTTCGATCTCTCCGACCTTAGTCAGTAGCACGCTCCTTAAAGGCAAGGTTTTTTGAGTGAAGTTGACGACCATGGCACAAAATTTATTTATTCAGAAGATAACATGCAGCGGCATTTAGGTGAGAAATAACCGCTTTAGTAATGCGCTCTAACTGAGGATCCACTATATTTGTTTTATTCATTTCAGCGCTCCTATTTGCGACTACCTAAGGGAAACCCATAAATAAATAATAAACACCATAGTAATACCGAAATGTAAGCGTCGGTGGGTTGAGCCAGAATTAAAATGGGACGCAAAATATTTCATGGATATAAAACCTGTAACCGTTGAGACTGTTCGTGCGAGTAAGCCATGCCATGGTTTGATAACGCACAGTGAGAAATTCACTCATCCCTGGTGGAAATCCTATCTTTTATAAAACTTGTGATGATGGCTTTGAGGTTCACGGAGTGATATTGAGGAATAAACTGGCATCGATATTTCCCATTTATTCCACTATCTTGGATTTTTGGTAAAATGTACGCATAGCAGTCTGGCCTATGGAGTAGGTGGCTTACCACATTATGAACAAAATATTGAGTGCGAATTTTGAGGAACACGGATGTCGTTCGATACCGCACCTTGCACGTAATTCGCAACTTCGATGCCAGGGACAATAAGGCAAGACCACGCGGATGAACCGTTTTCAGCTCTCGGTAACACAGGCCATTATGGAATAAATATATATTATTATCATCAGCCCTAGCACGCTATAAATGCGTAC